GTGGGGAACTGGACATGGTGTCGAGATGGAAAATGAAATTGTTGGCCCAAGACGGGTGGGTCTGCATTTGGAGAAAGCCCTGGCCTGGCTTCAAATCCCAGAGCGAAGGATCTAAAGACAGACTAGGCCAGGCAGACCTGGGCCCGCAGACCCGCCACTCTCCTTCCCTCCCTCGGTCCGCCCAGACCCCGCTTCCTCCTCGCGTCCTACGCATCCGTTGGGTTCATTTTAAAAATAAAAAATAATAATAATAATAACAAACAAAAACTAATGGGAGGCTCCCTGTGTCCCTTTCTTCCCTGGCGTCCAGAAGATCCAGCGGGAAGAGGGTGGGGCGGCGGCAGGGCCCCGGGCCGGGCCCGTCCGAAGCGGCTGTCATGGCGGCCGCAGGCGTTCGGCTCGCCCTCCGCGCCGGCCCGGCGCCATTTTGAGCATCCGCCTTGCTTCCCGGTCTCCCTCCCGCCCTCCTCGCTCCTCCTTCTCTCTCCGCCGGCCGAGTGCCTCCGACGCTGCCCGGGCCTCCCTGGGCTTGTCGCCTCGCTGCTTCTCGGATGCTCTTCCAACCCCGGGGTGACTGGCAGCGCCACATTTCTCAGCCGACCTCTTTTCTGCACCCTTGGAAGCCAGTGACCAACCCTGGATATGGGGAAATCCCCATCCCCGCTCCATTCCTTGGCCACCCTACCGCTCCTAGGAGGCCCGGCTCGTGCCCCAGGCTTCGTGTCCTCAGCCCTTCTGCGTTCCGATAAGGCCCTCCACCCCGCTTCGGGCACCGAAGCAAGAAGCCCGGGAAGCCCTAGGATCCCTCTCAATTCAAGGAAACCTCTGCGCCCCCCGCAGTGCCCCGGAAGGCTGTCCCCAGGCCTCCTCTCCTGCACCCTGCTCTGCTCGCACACACCCTCTCCCTCCGTCTGCCCACCTTCATGTCTAAGCAGAGGCCCAGGGAACACCCGCGCAGGGCCGAAGGCCCTCTGTCCGACTGTGTCTGTGTGGGAGGGTGACTGAGCTTCCAGCAACCCCTCAACTTTTCCCGGAGCGGTGGGTGGAGAAGCGGCCGCCAACCGGGTCTCCCTTTGTATCACCCAGACTTTGCCGGCCCAGGGGATTTAGCAGTCGAGAGGGCCACTGAACCTGACAAACTTCGCGCAGGTCCTGGAGGGATGACGGCGGCCCCTGGGAACACGGGGAAAGGGACTAATTCCCAACACAAGCACTCACTTTCGTATTAGAAAGACATTTATTCCATCTATGAAAATAATGTACAATAAATACTTTCCCCTTTTCCTATTATTAATTTTAATAAATAATCTACTGTCTAAAACTTAAAAAAAAGAGGAAAATAGGTCCCTCTAGTTCGTTTTAAGAAAGTCCCCCTAGAGTTTAATTATTCCTGAGATTTCGTTGGAAGGAGTCTACCAAATGGAATTTTTCTGTGTGATTTGAAAGAGATGCCCCGAGTGCCCAATATTTTAGAGAAAGAAAGGGAGTGAATTAAATGCTAATTCAATAATACCTGGATTTTAGCAAAACACATATCTACGCAACTGGGGGGCTAGGGAGGCTCAGATTTTCCAGCAAACTGCCAAGGAGGGTGGGGGTCCAAAGGGCCGGGAGGAGGAAACAGGTTAGGGAAACTGCAGGTCGATGGCACAGAGCGTGCTGGTGAAGAAGTCCAGGTCTTCCTCGGAAAAGGGGACAGGGCTGTCGAACGAACCCTGTAGGTTCGGAGAGAGGCCTCCGGACAGCTGGAAACAGGAGTCGGCCGCGAGGAAGTTGAGGTCGGGCAGGAAAGGCGAATCCTGCCGCTCCGGGAAGGCGTCTTCTGGCAATAGCCGGGGCTCGGGACCGCCGGACCCAAGCAGCGCGCAGCCGGGGCTCGCCGCGCCCTCCAAGCGATCGGCAAAAGGCAAGGGACCTGGGCCGCCCAGGGGCCCTGGCGCGACCTCAGGCGGGTGAGAGCAAGCTTCCCGCGCCGCCCGCGAGGCGGAGGGACCGCCTGGGCTGGTCGCGGGCTCCTCGGCGGGGTCGCCGGTGTCCTCCAGGGCGCCAGGACCAGCTGGCTCCCCGTCGGGTGGCTCCCGGTGCTGCGTCTGCCGCTTGTGCTTCATGCGCCGATTCTGGAACCAGACTTTGACCTGCCTCTCGGTGAGGTCCAGCAAGGCCGCGATCTCGACGCGGCGCGGACGGCACAGGTACTTGTTAAAGTGGAATTCCTTCTCCAGCTCCAGCAGCTGCGTGTTGGTGTAAGCCGTACGCAGCCTGCGCGCCCCGCCGCCAGCAACCTCCGGCAGTCCCGGGCCATCTACGGGGAAAACAGGCTGGGCGTCACAGCGGGCCGTGTCCTCAGCCCAACCTCAGTTCAGCTGAGATAAAGACTACCCCATCCGCCAAAAACAATATCATCAGTCTCCCCTTCCTTTCCCCCCAACCAAAGAGGCTCGCTCTCACTGCTTTTCGGTTCTTTGCGCTCTCTCCCTAGCAGACAGCAGTGGCCCGGGTGGATGCAAAGTATTCAGAGCCGCCCACAGGCCGTGCAGCGAGAGAGGAGCCGCTCCCTTTCGCGCCCAGAACCTCAGAGACCCCCCCACCAACTCCTCCCAGGGGACCCCTCAAATCGGAACTTTCCAACCCAACCCGGGACAGGGTTCGTAAAAGGTTGTTCTTCACCCCTCTTCCCAGCTCTTAAATTCCCTCTGTTCTCTTAGGGCTGGGGGAGGGAGGACCGCCTCTTTTCCTGCCTCCAGATTCAATCCCAGCAACAACACATTCATTCCCTACAGTTATGGGCGAAAATCTCGATCGAATCTTTTTCTTCTAGCAGAGAAAAAGCGCTTCCCCAACCAGCTTCCAAAATCTGCTGTAGAATAAAAAAAATGCTGGCAGAGGCTAGGCCTGAACCCCAGCGGGATATTCTGCTTCCCCATCCTAAGAATGGACGGGGCAAGGAACCCCAACAGTCTCGCCACCTTTTTTAACCCCCCCACCGCTCTTTCTCCCCCTCTCTTCTAGCTGCCCCTCACCCCACCCCCACCACGCTTACCGACCTGCAGGCGATCCGACCCGGGAGGCCGGGACGGAGGAGGCGGCCGGGGAAGGAGACGCGGCGGATTGGCTGGGTTTCTTGGCGGATTTCTTCTCTTTCATCCAGGGGAACTCGGGGGCTGGGGGGGCAGCGGGGAGCGGCGGCGGTGGCGGCGGCAGAGCTGGCCCATCTTCGGCTCGCTTTTGGCTCCTGGGTCTCTGAAGGGTGGAGGCGCCGGGCTGGAGGCTGGGGAAGGTTTGCTCGAAAGGAGGAGGAGGAGGAATTAATGTCGACTCTTTGATTGATGAAGTTTGAAATGTCTCCAAGACAGCGGGGAAGGAAGTCAGACACTCGGCGAGCGATGGCTGGCTGTTTATAAACCCAATCTCCCTCTCAAATTCAAAATTCATGGCTTTCAATGGTGGGGGAGGGGGCCTGCTGGGGGGGGCGTCAGGAGGGAGGATCGGAAGGGACCCCCCCTCCTGCCCCCCCCAGGTTTATGTGATGGAGCGATTTTGGGAGGGGGAGATTTCTCTCTCTCTCTCTCTCTTTTTTTTTTAATTTTGGGCCTTTATAATTGTATATTGCTGATAAATACAAGCGTATGGGGACTCTCTCTATTAAACCCAGGACTCCAGCGAAATTGCAGGGAAATCATGGTCACGGGACCGGCCTCGGCCAATCGCTCGTCTGGGCCTGGTGGAAAACAGAGAGCATTATTTGCTTTAATTGATTCAAAAACTCCAGAGGACCACGACCTGGACACCATGAGCCCCCATTCCTTACACCAGTGCCTCACACTCTCTCTCCAAGGCCTCCCTTTCTCCGGAAAAGCTAGAGGAACCTCTTCCTCATCCATCCCCTTCAGAGGATGGGAGGTTGTGGGAGCCTGGAAACGGGAATCTGAGAAATCTTCCTCTTTTCCAGATATTTTTAATAGAGTAAATTAATGCTTTCTTTATGGTCAACAACATCCTCCCCTCTCGAAAAAGGAAAGACGAATGAGAATCTTAATATTGAAGGAAGAGTAGAAAGAGGCTTCCATTCTTTGAAAAAGGTAGCGTTAAGATGCAAATAAAGAAGATAGATTTATAATCCTTAGCACTAGTGTCCCCATCCCACCCTTCAAAAGCAACAGTTAAATCTTGGAAAATGGACAGGCATTCCCAGCCTGACAGAAGACTGAGATAAGATAGTGAAAGGCACTTTGGGGCCTCTGGCCTCCAAAGCTGTGTGACCTGGGCTCCCTTTTCTGCCCAGTGTTTACAGCACTGCCCCTGCCCCTTATATTCACCTGCCTTCCTCACTTGTGGCATCCACACTTCTCTATGACACCCCCCTTCAAACAGGCAGGGTCTAAGATGCATATGTACCCACTGAAAGCATGAGCAAGGTAGCTACTGATTTAACTTAGAGCACTCTCAAAGCTCAGGTCAATTTGTGTGTGTGTTGGGGGCAGAGGTGGGGAGCTTTTCCCCCAGTACAAAGCCCATGTTTGCCATTGTGCTAGTTAGAAAAAAAAAAATCAAATCCCTGACAAAAGAATTCCCTGAAGATGGAGGGGGTGGTAGTAATGACCACTGAGATGATATGCCATTTCTGGCCCCTGGGGAAAATGTTTTTTAAAATTTATTTTATTTTGAGGGACCCAAGATCGTCTGAACTTTAGAGAGTGTTGTAATTTTCTAGAGGGAGGGGGCACAAGACTCAGAGCCCCAAGCAATTGGTGGGAAACTAGGCCTCAAAGCAGAAAATGAAAAGTCGATCTGGGGGAAGATTTTTAAATAAGTGGGTCAGAGGGACAGAGAGGAGATGAGGCGATCAATCTTAGCCCCCTGACAGCTCTCTCCGATTGCATCAAAGAATTTTGCTCTTTGGGAAAGCAGAGGGAACAGCCAAAATTTCACATCCCTTAAAAAGGCCTGGGGGGGGCGGGGGCAAAAGAGAAAGGTGATTCTGGGAGAGCTGGGAAACAGATGGGAAATGGGGACAGAGGGAAGACGCTAAGTTGGGTGGAAAGTTTGCCTGGAGAACTCCCACGGCTCTGGCCTCCCCTCCCCCTCCTCACTCTCTGCTGCCCAGCCAGGAGGAGCAGGCTGGTTAGCAGAGAAATGGCAACTCAGCCGGGAGCTGGAACTAGAAACTTTCTGTCAATGTAACATCGGCGGCGTGGGTGGTGGTGAGTATTTAAAAAGAAGGGCAGAGAAGTCTCCAGTAGAAGGGTGGGGGTGGAGGGTAGTGGGCTGGAAAAAGGGGAGTTGGAGGTGGGGGCTATAGGGACAAGGGGAGGCAGGCTCTGGAGGGCTCAGAACAGAAAGAGCTGCTCTGACGTGGGCAAGCTGGCCAGAGACGGTTGTGTTCAACTCGCGTCTAAAGAAAACAATTTTTGCCATTTGGAGATGTGGATGGGGGTGGGCACAGAAGAATCCAAATAGTAGCTGTCTGGAAGTTGTGCAGGGAGGCCTAAGAGAGGGTTCTCCCTCTGGCCACCCCCTGGAAGTTCAGTAACAGCCTCTCCAGCTGGCTGCAGGATCCTGCGCTTCTCTCGGCAACTCTGGCCCTGAGACTGTCCTGCAGGAAATACAGCTCTCTCTAACCCTCGCTGACAGATTTTACGGCCAGATTAGCGAACAGCGGAAAACTTGGGTGTTAAAAGGGGCCAAGAGAGCCTTCCTCGCCAGAAACATCCCTCCTCCGCCCCCCGTCGTGCTGTGAATCTTGCAGCACAGATATTTTACCCATGTATTTGACTTCTTTAGCTGAGAGCTTGCAATCTCCCAGAGAGAAGGGTAGGGAACACCAAGCCAAGTCGGCTCTTATTTTTCTTGTTTGCAATTCCAGCTTCAAGCCAAAGCTCTGTTTTTCAAACTCAAGCTAAATTCTCTCTCTTGGCCTGCATCTCTCCCCCTAGATAAATAAGCAACCCAAGCCACCCCCAGAGCCAAACATGGCGCTTCATCTAGTTACATCATTCAGAAAATTTTATTCAGGGAAGAGGAAGAGAAGGAAAGAAAGAAAGAAGGAAAGAAAGAAAAACCCTTGAGCGTTATTTGATCTCAATCAAACTTTGCACGCTCTTATGCCTTTAAATTATAGCCTGACTCAGTGCTAAATTGCTTGCTGCTTGGATGAGCTGAGTCCAGTTAAAATCCTACTTGGTGGCGGTGGGGGGGGGGGGGGGGGTGTAGAATTCAGGTTGCTTTTTTATTGTTATTTATTGTTGCATAAAGCCTATAATTACTAACCTTGGACTGCCAGGATGCAACATAAAAATGAAAATCAACCCTTGCTTTAGGCTGAGGGCCTGGAATGATTCTCACTGTCCCCCCCCACCCCCACAACTCTACCACCAAATATATGCTCCTAATTAAGCAATGCGGCGCATCGCTTACAATTAGAATTATGCAACTCTTCAGCAAGCAGCCATCGCTTCTCTTTCAACGAATTAGCTCCATATTTCAGCCGCCCTGTCTCCTGGCTCTTATCGGCTCCAGCGACGCGGCGGTGACATTTCATCTTTGACAGACCCTCTCTATCCTCGCTCCAATGTGATAAAACTTTTATGGAACCACGACTAAGAAATGAAGTTTTCCCAAGGATGGTGGAAGAGCTGCTCATTAGCCTGGGGATCACTTTATTTACGCCTGGATCCAACAGCTTTCTCCCACCCTCCTCTCCCGTTTCTCCGGCAGGGGAAATCAAACACGTGCCTCCTCCTCCTCCGCCCGGAGTTTTATTTAGTGATTTAATTTCCCTTTAGTTTTAAAGTTTGACCTGAGAAGTCTAGGCCTCAGATTTTTTTTTTTTTTTTAGATTAATCATTTTCCTTTGTTTTCATTTTAGACCCAATGGTCGTTGGGCTTCAGGTCACGTGACTACTTCTTTGTAGCTCCGGAAGAGGACTGTGAAGTTGAGGTTGCGAGGAAGAAACAGTAATCAGCCAGATTTTTGGCGGTGGTGGTGGTGGTGGTGGGGTTGCAAGGAGGTTGTGCCCAAAGGAGGGAGCAGACAAAAGGTCAATGAATGAAAAAAATGGAAAGGCATAGAGTCCAAATAGAAAGACCTACAGAGAGCGCTGGGGTCCCCTATCCCCTCAACTTGTTACTTAAAGCTTAGCCAAAGAAGTTGGCAGAATGTTCCAGGATCATAATAAGTGAGAAAACAGGATTCAAACCTGAGACACATAAAGGGGGAGATAGGAGCCTGAGCACTGGACAAAAAGGCCTGGAAAGGGTCTTCCAAGTCCTAGTCTTTCTTCCCTTGAGGGAGATTGGGCAGTCAGCAGCCTTGCTCTGCTATCTAAATTGGACCACCAGGACAAGATAAAATTGATAACAGAAAGTTTATTCAAGAATTGTTTGACAGACAACCCTTTTAGGTAAGGAAAAAAGTAACTACAGAAGAACAAAGAAAGTTCCAAGAGGGAATTAACTCTAATTCTACAAATTCAGGACTATACAGTGACAATTAGGAGCTGAGTTCATGCCTTTAAGAACTAATTACAATTGCTCATAAGTACGAGTTTAACATAAATCTACAGCTCTTTTCTAGAGTACAATAATAACTAAAATAGCTGGTTTTACATGACAGGAAACACAATGTCCTTTATAACAAGTAAATACTAAAAAAGTACAATTTTTTCCTTTTTTCCCTCATATAAATACATAATGTAGGGGGATAAATAATACAAAAAGAAAATATTTTAACAGGCTATAACCAATAAATATATATGAAAATGTTCACTAGAACACACGCTTTTTGAGCGATGCTGGACTTCTGCAGGCCCAGGCATCTCTCACAGTTGTTTTTATATCCATTAAAATGTAAACTCTAAGTGCAACAAAAGTGTCCTGTCAGGAGGTTGAGCAAGGCACATAAGCCCAGCTGCAGCTCCTGCCTGGGACAGACAGTTTGTTCAAATATACCCTGTTTTCACGTTAAGTCAAGAGAGCAACAGAAGAAAAGAAAAGTGTAGAACCTCGTGTCTCTGACTGCTTTCCGGGGAGAGAGGGGGATGGACCTGGAGCTGAGACAGAGGCAGCAGAATGGGCAAACCTTCAGTCTTGACAACTTGCCTGCCCTAGCCTCCTAACTTTTCCTTAAAAGAATATATATATATATATATAATGAAATAGGCAGCTCTGACTTTCAGGATCTCTTGCCATCCCTGAGCCCTCTAACAACTGTAATCCATGGGTGTGTGGTATAGATATGAATGTCCTAGAGCGGAAAAACATGGGGCTAGAAATGGAGAAGGTACCCCAATAAACTTGAAATAGATGGGAGGAAATTTGAGGTTTCAGGGAAGTGGAAGGGGAACGTGCTTTGTGCCCTTGGATTTGAAATGTGTTTTCTTGTTTTTCAAAGAGAATTGACAGGAAAAAAAATTAAGATTTGGGGGAATTACCCGCAGAGATGGAAGGTAAGTTGATTGGTTAGTGATGGCCTAGCCATCTTGTCTGTTTTTAAAACTGTGCTTCTCTGCCTTGTTTTTCTACTTCGTCTTCCTCTACCCTACTCCCATGGGTAGAATTCCAACTTGGTAGTGCTGGAGCCCTGGGGTTGATGGGGTCATCTCCAATCTGCTGTGGATTCCTTTCTGATGGGTTGGCAGGCAGATGGAACTAGGGGTGGAGGATTTAAAAGCAACCTCTCAGGCCAGGGGGAGGGGGAGGGGAAGGAGCTGCAGGCCGGTTCTGCCCAGGAAGCCTGGCTACCACCTCCCTGGCCTCTTTGAGATCTCCCGGCTGCCCTTGGAGCTCCACAGCTCTGCTCTTCTTCTTCCTCACCACCCCCCTCCCTCGCCCTTGACCTCGCTCCTCCGCCCTCCCTTTAACATCACAGGTGTGTTAATTTGGGCGCTTCTTGGATTCTACCCTGAGGAGGAGGCGCATGGTGAGAGGAGAGGTCTGTGTAGGTGGGGTGGGGGTCGCAGGGTCCGTGGTGCTGGGTGGGGGCCATAGGGGGTGCCCCATTGTAGTCCAGGTTCCCCGAAGGATGGTGGGAAAGGTGGTTGAGGCCATAGAGGGAGGGGCCGGCAGGGGGCGGCAGCGCATCCGCGTAGCCGCCCCCGCCCACATACACCGGGCTGCCCTGCATGGTGGGCGTCCCGTAGGCGCCCCCGTTGGCTTGGAGGACGTGGGGCTCATAATCTGGCGCCGGGGTCGGGGGGTACTTCTGGGGGGCACCGCAGCCCTTGAGAGGGGGCTGATAGTTGGAGGGCAGCGCGTAGGCATTCTGGTGGGCTTTGCCGAAGGCGGGCGGGGACGGGCTCTCGTAGCTAGGCGTCATGGAATGTAAGGCGTTCATGAAGCCGGCCGTGGACTGCATGGGTTGCGGGGGGCTGCCGGCTGGAGAAGGGCCCCCAGACGACGAGGCCAGCCCCTTGGCCTTCTGGTCCTTCTTGTATTTCATGCGCCGGTTCTGGAACCAGATCTTGATCTGCCGCTCGCTGAGATTCAGCAGGTTGGCCATCTCCACGCGGCGAGGCCGGCACAGGTAGCGGTTGAAGTGGAACTCCTTCTCCAGCTCCACCAGCTGCGCGCTTGTGTACGCTGTCCGCGCCCGCTTGGACGCCGCCGACCCCGGGGGGCTCTTGTCCCCTCCCCCGCCGCCGCTGCTGCCCCCGCCGCCGCCCGCACTGCCGCCGCCGCCGCCTCCTCCGCCGCCGCCACCGCCGCAGCCCTCTGCTGGATCCGAGGGGGAGGAGGGGTGGGAAGAGGAGAAAATGAAATAAAAGATAATTACTGAACACGCCGAAATTGAATGCATCGTTTCTTAATAAATCCAGGCCTGGACTCAGAGCCCCCGCTGCCCTCCCCTTCGCGTCCCCGCCTCCTCCTCACTAGCCCCCCCCCACCGCCCGTCGCATTAGCGGACACTCTATAATAGTGGCATTTATTAAGAGACCTGTTCTCCTCTCGCTGCCCCAGCTTATGAAAATTTGATCATGTCACGCAGACAGAGCCGCATGGCCATTTATTTAGGGCTGGATTTTCACGTGCGCGCTTCCTTCCCCTTATCCCCAATTTCATGTCTGGAAAGACATTACCCCTACTCTGTCCCATCCTGTGGACAGGGTAGGTGACTGAGGAGAACACTTGGGGGAATCTGGACACTCGTGGGCAGGACCCAGAAATGTGGAGCTAAGAGGCTGCCGTGCCTGGAGGCCGGACCTGGGACGCCAGAGCGATTGTGATTAATACCCACAGTAATCATACTTAATAATAATCAATCCTTGACGACTCTGCATCCTCCCAGCAGCTCCTTTTGGCTCTGCGGCCCTGGGAAGGTCTCAGGCCCAGCACCTTGCCTTCTGGAGCTCACAGAAGCTCTGGTGGAGGGTGGCTGGAGGGAGGGGGTGTTGGCGGGGTCAGGGGCCATCAGGGGATGGGGGTACCAAAAATGCGCTGCCACCTCCTAATATTGTTCCCAGGCCGCCTCTTGGGCGCCTAGGGGCTGGGTGCTAGAATAACAGTGACATTCCTGGCCTGGACAAAAGCTGATGAGAGGAAGGCAGAGAGCTGGTACCTGTGCCGGGGGAGCTGTTTTTCAGCTTGGACGTTTGCCTCGACTCTTTCATCCAGGGGAATATCTGTTTGGTGAGGGTGGAGTTGGAGCAGGGACCGCACTTGGGGGGACCGCTTTTGCCGGGTCCGCCCCCATTATTGCTGTTGCTAGTGGTACTGGTAGGTGCAGCGCTGGGCGGGGGTGAGCCGGGCGGGGCGGGCAGGGGCTCCGGGGCCAGGCTGGGCCTCATGCAGCTGCCGTTGAGCTCCTTGCTCTTGGCATGAGGGGCGGCGTTGCCCAGGGACTGCAGGGAGCATGCTGAGCGCTGGTAGTCGCCCTCCAGGTGCGTGGCGGCCTGAAAGGGGGGTTGGGGGGGACCGTCGTAGCCGAAGCCATTGCTGCCGGGGTACGAGGAGTAGCCTCCGAAGAGCGCAGCTGCGGCGTTGTCGTAGTAGGTGGCTTTCTGCATCGCTGGGCGAGGCCCGGGCAGTGGGTGGCAACTTGCAAGGGCCTGATACCCTCAGGATCGGACATTGGCACCCCTGGGGGTCACGTGACAAGCCGGACCCCCCTCCCTCCCCTCTCTGCCCCCCTCCTCCCGGGTACGTTCCAAGCGGCTGACCTGCGGGGCGAGAGAAGAGACACAAGGGGGAGAAGAGGACTGGGGCTCCGCTCGAATCCATCTTAGGAACTGAAAAGGGAACTGACATCAATAGGGTTGGTTTTTTTTTTTTCTCCTCTCCTCTACTCCCCAGCATCTACAGAGCAGATGCTGAGGCCAGGTCCCTGACCTGAAATGGATTTTTCTTATTTCAAAGCTTTAATTTTCAAGAAAAAAAGCCCACCAGTTTTCATTTCCACTTAAAAAATAAGGACTGCACTCCTTTGGGGACTACCTAGCTATAGAACCCTACTACTGCAAGGGCCATTGCTTCTCTCCTATGTCTGTGCACTAGCCCCTGACCTCACCTCCTCCCTCTCCTTACCTCCCCCCTCAACACTGGGATAGAGTGGTTCAAGGGAGGGGCACTAGGAGACGCCAAAATAGAAGCGTCATCTACACCCCCTTCTGAGCTGAGAAGCTTCTCCTCCTCCTGCCTTTGCCTCCCTCCATGTCTGTTTAGGTCTCTCATCCAAGCAAAGTCTAGCCTGGAGGAAAACCAAAGGATCTCAGAAAAAGACAAGAGGGATAAACAAGTTCAGCAAGGAATCTTCTGTGAGGTATCCTCTCCCCGCCAAAGGACAGCAACAGCCTGACCTACAAACTTCCTCAACATTTTTAACCTCCAGAGTCAGCTGAACCCAGCCTCACCCGACCATGTCCCTGCTGCAGGTATCTCCACCTCCAGTCGGAGCTGCCCAGCGAAGCCTGGGACCGGGCAGCCAGGGTCTCCATGCCCCCCCCAAATGGAGCACAATTGTTGCTATTTTCCAAACCAGGCCAGTTGGTGCTGTGACCATTTGGCCTAGGTCTCTCTCCTTACCTTTCTTCCTTTTTCATCAGACAATTTTTTCCCACCCTTTCCTTGACAGTCTTTTGATTTCTCCAAAAGAAAAGAAGAAAAAATTGCATAACTGCTGGACTTTTCTACCAAAATGGGAAAAGCGCTTTCTAAAAGAGAAACTTATTCCCAAGAGGGGAAAAAAACAACAAAGCAATTTGAACAATATTGTTCTCTAGGTTGGAAATAGAGGGGGTACCCTTGTTGACTGAGGTTCCCCAAGGCAAAAAATAAAATACCATCACTATTTAAATACAGCCTTTTAAAAGTGTGCCAGAAAAATAAAGAATCAAGCTATCATACAATTTTGTTTGTTCTAAAACTTCTGACTGCATTTTTTTTCCCTGTCTCCCCCAAGCCCTCAGAACCACTTTTCATAAAACCTCCATACCGACCCTCTCTTCTGACATGTGTTGGAAAAACTTAAATCTCATTCAGCCCAGCTGGTCAACTCCAAAGAAAACTAAAAATAGGAAAATAAAAGGAGTGCAGGTGAAGGAAGTCCCTCCCACACATAAATCCCCTTCTTAGTGGCACAGATTTATACTCAAAAGGGAGCCGGTGTAGCACTGAGTTCCGATTGGTTTCTGGAAATACACATGGGTCTGCAAAGCAGCAGGTCCTTCCAGGGAGAACCGGAGTTCAATTGACCAGGCTGACCCAATCCCTTTATTATTATTACCATTAGCCTCTGATGATTTAACCAAAATTAGCTTCGAAGCAGCCCTGGCTGAAGGGGGAATTAATTAACAGGCATCAGTTGAGTTTGTTATTAATAGATAAAGAGAATGAAATAAAAACGTTGGCGGGGGTTGTCTGGCTGGGCCCTAGCTTTATTTAGTCTAAATGATTGTTACAGCAATAATAATGATGATGGTGGTGGTGGTGATAGTAATAATAATAAAACAATAATTTGACTAGACGCCTGGGGCCGAAATTCCTGTCGCTCCCCCTGCAATAAACCCCAAACCGTCGCAGGACCGAGGCCAGGCGAGTGTGGGAAGCGAAGGAGCCAGAGACTCAAGAGGAAAGAATGGAGACTCCGCCGGCGGTGAGACAGGGCCGGGAAGGCTCGTGCACCCGGGTAGCCCCGGGCTGCCGCCGCCGGGCTGTCTCGGCGGCCGCTGCTGCCACGGTTGCTGGCGATGAGCTACCAGCCTACTACGCTGGCCCAAAGAGGCGAAGAGAAAGCGATCAGGACACCAAAACAGTTATCAGCGCAGGTTCCAAGCACACCGGGCCCAGGGAGGGCCGAGCCCCGCAGGCAGCAGCAAGTTTGGGCGCTGGAGGTAACCGAATTAAAAGGCGCCTTAGCAACTCCGCTTCCGGACTTTGCTCTGCAGGGCTCCGGGCTGGAGGGCGCCGAGGCCTGGCTGACGGGACAGTGGGAAGAGGGAAAGGTGCCGAGAGGATCCGAGATCTGGGATCCAGGACAAGAGGGGGTGGGGAACAGCTCTACCAAGCCAAACATATCTATTTCCCTTGCCTCCATGTTGGAAAAATTCAGGCTCCATATGGCTCCTCGGGCGGGAGGGAGGGAGGGAGGGAGGGAGACCGTGGCTCCCGGCTTCCCCCAAGGGTCTCGCTGGAGAAGGGAGGTGAGCCCCCAAGAATCCCACCTTTCCAGGCACACCCCGGGGAAAGTAAGGGAGGGTAACAATAGCTGGGGAAGCCCCGGGAGAGGGGATAGGCCACCTTCCAGGACTTAAATTAATGGAAGGAAGAAAAATAAAAGAACAAGAAAGGAAGAGAGAGAAAGGTTAGTCTCTTCTTAGCAGCCGGGGAAAATTCAGCCCTGGGTCTGGCTGCTGAAAGAAAAGAGGAGAAAAGGAGAGAAACAAGAAGAGAGGGGGAAGAGAGAGAGAGAGGGAGGGAGGGAGGGAGGGAGAGAGGGAGAGAGAGAGGGGGAGAGAGAGAGAGAGAGAGAGTCGCTGCGTGGAAGGAAGCTTAAAGCTTGTGAACTCTTCTTGAACCGAGATTGGAGTCATATGGGCCATAAATCATTGAGACATACTCTCCGCCATTCACAAACTGATAGCCTATTTCAGTCCAGCTTACCTTAGCCACCGACGAGGGGAGAACAGGCAGACATAATATATATTCACATCGAGCCCCAGCGCGAGCGGCAGGCGAGAAATCTCCCCTCCTTGAAGGCAAAGGAAAAAAAGACCACTGTTTAAAGCTGCGTCGCCCCCCCCCCAAAGCCACCCCGGCTGGGGAGCCCGAGGGGCAGACCGGCCAGAGGAGCCGCGCGGCGTCCGCTTCAATTCACTCGGCTTAGGAGCGGGGGTGCGCAGGAGGGAGGGGGTGGGGGAGCCGGGAAAAAAACAGAAGACCGAAAGGTGCCGGGGCGGCTCAGCTCGCCGAGAATCCAGCTCCGGGCTCCAGCATGGCCAAGCCGCCACAGTGTGGTTGCCCTATAAGACTGGTACGCCCTACTCTCCGTAACAATGGCCTCTGCTTTTGCACAGGGAAAAAAAAAACCACACAGACACACACACACTCACTCACTCACACACAAGCTCACACACATCCCCACCTCTCCCCCTTTAGCAAGCTTAGATGCCTGATAAGAAGGGAAGGTGGTGGTGGTGAAGGGGGAGGGGGGAATTTTAAAATACCCCCCCCCCAAAGAGTGAAAAGGAAAGAAAGTGGAGAGTGGTTTTTTTTTAAAGAACAGGTTAAATTTTAAATTGATATTGGGGGGACGGAGAGGAAGAGCAGAGGCAAGGAAGGCCAGTGAAGTTCACAGCTCCCCCCACGCCCCACTGGTGAAGCATTATGCTAATTTGAGAAGTAGCACTGGGAGGCCGAGTAGAGGCAGGCCTCGCCTAGGGGTGGGGGTGCTGAGTGCCCCTCTGAGCTCATTCGCGGTTGGAGCACTAGGACTTTTTTTTTTTTTAAGTAGTTTCACTCCTCCGGGACTGGTGGCTGGGTCTTCCGCCTCTCTCGCTGTCTCCCTCCTCCGGAGTCTCCAGCCTCTGCTGCTTCTCTCTTCCACACGCTCTCCTCTATTCCTTCTCTCTCCCGCAAATCTCCAGGCCCAATCTCTAACCAAGGGAGAGGGAAGGCCAGACCTTTTTTTTTTTTTTTTTTTAGAACAGACAACAAGCGGTGAGTGATGATTTAAAAAAACCAGAACATCTTGCAGGGGAAGGAGGGTTGGGAAAAGGGTGACAAAAGGAGGACCCTGTGTTTAGCTTGAGCTCCAGACTGGCTGGCAGTAGAGGGGCTGTAAGAACTTTATGGAGAAGTTTCTGTTAAGATTCTCACCTCCGGATAGGCATGAGGGACTAAGAGGCGACAAGGATATTTGTGCTTCTAAGAAGATGAGAAGAACTAGCAGAATGGATTAATTTTAAATGCACTGGCAGAAGAGAAGGAGGATAGTTGTTATTATCGTTATTATTATTATTATCCAGAACAAACTTGTTTGTTTCTCTCTGCTCTGCAAGATTTATGACTCTTGGCACAAGTGAGGAAGGCCACAAAAGCTAAAGTGTTCTTAGGGTGTATTTGAGCAGGGCAGAAAAAGGCAAGGAGGAGGCCTGTAGGAGGAAGAAAGGAGCCAAGAATGTAGGTGTCTGCAGATTTGGGATGGGGGTAGGGAAAAGCCACTGGATGGGAGGAAAAAGACAAAAGCACCAGGACATTTCTTCCGAAAGCAGAAGTGTTTGCAACTCTGCCTAACTGCTGACTCCGAGCTTAGGAGATAAAACAGAAGGCAGAAAGTGTCTCTTTTCTACAAAGGCAGCTTGGAAAACTGTTTCTCTTAACTTCATGTAGACAGAGCCAGCCACTACCCTGTGATTTCCTCCTTAGAATACTTGGCTTTTGCCTCCTCCCATCTGGATGCTCCAGGAGAGATGATGGGACTGGGGAAAACAAAGGTGAGAGATGGTTTCCAGCTATTGTCTCCCCTGCAGAAGAGGATGGCTGCGGGTCTGGCAAAGCTTCCCTCACACCCTCTCACTCCCCACTCAGAGGCTCTGCTTTGGGATGAGAAAGGGAGTGGTCCCAGGCCTCTGGCCCCCATTTCTTCCAGGCCAGCTAAGTGAGGCCAGGTGAGGTGAAGCAGCCAGTTTCCAGGGGCCCTCTGAAACAGGGGGAACCTGTGGCCTTCAGCGATAGAAGCCATATGCATAGCCTCAGGCTGCGATGTCCTAAGGATCCTATCTCCTGCCTAAAGAGTTGGTCACCGGCAAGTGGGGAGATAAGGTGAGGAGGGAAGGTGTGAGCCATTTTTCTGGGTTTATTAATAGTATCAAGAAAAGAAAGCCAGACCCAATGCTGGGGCTGAAACCAGGACCCTCAAAGAGACCAGTTAGGGCCATTGAGTATGTGACTGCAAGAAGTCTGTCCTGAGATCTCTAGCCGACCCTGACTGGAGACTTACAGGGTAGACCCCATGTAACTTTAGGCCTAGTGGGTCAGGAACTTGGGCCAAAGAGGCTTCCAGAGGCTTAAGGGAACCAGCACCTTTGGGGTTTTTTTCTCTCACTCCTCAAAATAAAAACATCAAGACTGTACACCTCAGACCCTCCAGTTCCCCTAGCTGATACTACCACTGGCTAGAGAAGGTCATTGTGAAATTGAGATAAAAGGAGAACCTGATTGCTTGTGGGACTGTGCAGCTTTGCCTTGAGGAATAAAAAGAGAGCCGGAGGAAACCCAGCCAGCTGTGGGGCCTGCAAGAAGAGACGGGACTTCGGAGAAGAAGCGAGAAGTGAAGCAGGCCTGGAACTAAGCCGGGGGGTAGAGGAGTGTTCCAGAGACAGCGACAACCCCTCCTCTCCCCAAACCTCCTCAATCCTTTGTGGTCCCTCTGGCTACACAAGGTGGTGGGGTATAGTGGGTGGGAGTGAAAAAGAAGACTGGGGAGCAAGGAAACGAACCTGGAAAAAATTTCAGAGGACATGCACCCACAAATGCGGTAGGAGATGGAGTGGGGGCTTCTTAATTCTGGACAACAGAGCCCATTTGTAATGCTTCGTAAGCAGTTAGATCCCAGTTTGGTTTCTTTCTTGCCTTTTTTCACCCTTTCTCAGAGGGTTCTGGCCAGGAGGCAAGTTACCCCAGACTGGGGCTGGGAGGCTGGAGGGCAGATAGTCGAACAGGCACCCCCAAGGCCCCCATTTCGTTTAAGGTGCTGCAGGCTAGGGGCTTTTCAAACTCCAGGGGAGAGTTGGGGTAGTGAGGAGCTTGGGCTGGGAACTTGTAATGGGGGACACCAGAGGGGTCTTAGAGAAGATTTGGGGGGGGTCTGGGAAAAGAAGGGAGGGTGGAGAAGGGTTTGTCATCCCTGACAGTGAAGTCATGACTACGGGACAGACTGGTAGAGAGAGAAGAGAAAACAATTTCTTTCTGGATTCAAGGAGGGAAACTTGGGCAATTCTGTGTGTGTGTTTGAGTGTGTATGTGTGTGTGTATGAGAGAGAGAGAAGGAGAGGGGAGAGAGAAATCGAAAAAGAAAAAAAACTGAGAAAAATTAAGAGACACTATCGTAAAGTAATAAAGGCAAAAATAATAATAAGAGTAAAGATACAGGAAATGTCCCTCTTTATAGACATCCTTTCCTCTTCCATTTCCATAGAGCCAGAACAATCTCTCTGTCATTCCCCTGTCCCACCTCTACTGGGTACCCAGTACCAGGGGACAAGGAGCACTTTAAACCCCCCTAAGCAATCACTGGCCACCACCCTTCTGGACCTTGGTGGTGGAAGCACGCCTGTTTCTCTCCCCCAAAAATCCAACAACAGGCAAACGAAAATTCTCTTAATAAGGGCAAACTGGCTGGCTCCTTTAAAAGTGATTTCTGATCTCAGCCTTGGGGCAGCCAAGGATCCCACCCCTAGCTCAAACAACAAAAAATTCGCCTGGCCTACTGGTCGCTGGGGACCTGGGACCTGGGAAAATGGGGACCTGAGAACAAGGTGTTTAGTGATAGGTCTTTCTGACCCTGTCGGGGTTCCCGGTCCCACACTTTTCCAGCTTCACTGCCCAACTTTGTGACTGCAGCAGAGTGGTGTAAAGTTCACACACACTGGTCTCCTTGTTAGGATTAATAAAGATATCAAAGCTGGGGGTTGTAAAAGGGACTTGCTAATGAAGAAGGCTCTTGGCATTTGGCTCCCTGATCGCCAACTCTCTGATAGGCCAGAGCCAGAGGGAACAAAGGGGCGCCGGGCAGGAGCTGATCTCTGCACCTCCGCAGAAGCCCGTGTAGCCCCTGCTCAGCAGTTTGGGGATCCAAAGAATAAAAAGGCCTAGGGCGGGAGAAGAAATATCCAAGCTGTACTTTCCTCACCACCGGCGTGGGGATGCCGCTCTCTTCCTGGCTAAGCATTAGAGGGGGAAGCAGGAACAAACAGGGCGGCCAAGAGGGTCTGCAAAGTCTACTGTGACCACGGAGGCAGCCTGAACATCGTAATGAGGGGAGGGCAGTGCGGTGAGAGAAGCTGGGAGCCACGAGCAAGGCAGGCTCCTTGGTGGCGATACCTCCCATTCTGAATCAGGGCTTCCACCTCATTTAGAAACAGTCTTGGACTGACAAACCCCTCCCCCAGCGAATGTTGAGACAAAGGTGGGCAGAGTGAAGAAGGCAGAGGGAGTGAGACTGCGAATCTTAGACACTTGAGGGGTAGGAGTGCTGGGGAAAGGAGGGAGCAGCAGGGAAGAGAGGAGCAGGGGCCCAGTCCGCTGCCAGTGGCTGCGCGGATCTCTTCTGACAGATTGGATGTCTCTCTCCTAGTGACCTCTCTTTAGCAGACAATAACTCACTGGATTAATGACCAATCAGTGGAAGGCCTTCCAAATTGCCTCTAAATATAAAACTCCAAAGTCAGAATGGAATAGGACCAGAGTCTGGGCCTGCCAAGCCTTTTGTTTTTTTTTTTTTTCTCTCCCAAAATAGTGTTTGGGGCTAGACGTTAGGGACTTTATCTGGCCAGAGACTGAGGTTTTCAGAGCTCCAAAGATGAGGTTGTTTCCCATCTCTTCCCACTTTGCTCCTCCCCTAGATTTCATATCTCAAACCACACTTCCCAGTGGCAGCCTGGAAACCTTCCCTACCCTGCTGGCCTCCTCATATCCCTAATCCTACAAGAAATTTCCCCTCTCACAACCATGGACCTGAGAAGCCACCAC